CAATTACATCAATTCTGGAGAGAAAAACAATGTTTCTTAGTAATCTTCCATCGGATAGGCTCCAACCCTAAAAGCAAAGCACATGGAAAATGAACCTCTCAGATGAATTCAAAAAGAAAAGTTGGAAACTTCAAGTGGCAAATAATCTAAAGAGAAAGCAAAATTTTAAATAGGAGAAAAAAAAAATCACTTATTAGTCATAAAGTCATAAAATTTCTTCTCATATAAGTAATATATCACTTATATTTTAAAATTTAAACAGACAGCATGACAGACCTTAAACATTCTAGCCTCAGAAGCAGAGACAAAAATTGCATTGCGTCCTCCACACCCTGTGACAAAGTCAGTTACAGGCAGAGAATGCTCTGTAACAGAATGCTCATAGAGATGACTTGCCTGCTGCCGTCCAAGATCATCAAATATACTAATTTACATTAAAGAAACGTTTCTAGTAAGCAACAACAGTTCAGCAAAGAATAAGTAACAATTTTTGCTATCAAACAATTGATCAAAAAGATAAAAGTGTAGTACGTGAAAATTGACCACACTCTAATGCCTCAATCCTATGATCCAGATATAAGTAGCTTATTATCCTCAGAAAACACCAAACAGGTGACACCCCTAAGGTGTGCACGCTACTTCTTAATTTGTACCAAACAAAATAATAGCTTTTCTTCTTTTATTGCACATAGAAAGACAGACTGATAAAACAGGGGTCGGCCTAATCTTAAGGGAGCCCTTTTCTGTGTTTCCAATCAGGTAAGGCTCCCGTGGATACATAAAGCCAGTTGGGTCTCATGAACTTATCCCCTCCCAACACTTTTTTGCCAGGGAAACAAAACTAAAAACTTGAAAATTGAAATGAAAGGGGGAAAGGAAATTACCTCCCAAATGTAAATGTTGCCAGACCAACCTCCACCAGCAATGTAACTAATGTAAGTGACTAAGCTGTTAACGGAAAGTGGCTTAATTGGTTCTGCAGGTAAACTCTTAACTCCTGTTGAGGCTGTAATAAACAGAAAAATCAAAACTTGATTGGAACAGGCAGTGAATTGAACAGCTTTGTTGCATCAATTATATTGACCTTAGACCAGGACCAGTAGAGGACGGAGCCTGAGGACGCTGAGGTTCACGGACCTGAGAGGAGGCAAGGAAACGTCCACCGACAGAGACAAGTCCATGTGAAGGGGAGGCACAGGTTCTCTAGCAGAGTTGTTCTGCTCAGGTTCGTAGGTCCCAGCAACGGATGCTGTCGTTTGGATGGTTAGAATGGTGGTGCTGAATTGTGAATTCCATTAATCTTTACGGTTAATCCAGGTGCTACGATTTGAGTTAACGAAATGTTGTGTTTTCTAGTCGAATTGCACTTCTCTTTGCCAGTCCGACCTGAAAAACATGACTGACGTTAGTTAATAGTTGGCCGCGAAGATGGGTAGATGCATCGATGGGCATTCAACAAGACAAATTTTCTTGGGCCTTACACACTTACAAGGAACATAAATTCGTGGGCTTGCTTAATTCAATTTATCTGAGACAGGCCCAGTCATAAATTCCTTTTTCATGAAAGGCCGAATCATACTTGAGCCCATTAACATTTTGTTTTTTACTCTACAGTACTGGTTTCCCAGATCAATATCCAGACATTAATAGGCACTTTTGTAATAATTTCATTATTCTTCAAAACAGGACAATTAAGAGAATGATTTAAGTAATTTTCAGTAGTAATTTTTTTGATAAAAAATATTAAATTTAAATTATATAATATGTGAATAAAGTAAATTAAGAGATAAAAAAATATTATATTTTATTATATACTTTTTTTAAATACGAAAATAAAATTTAAACCTCACACTCTTACAAAAATAAAAATATCTTTAATAATACATAAGTGGTCACTGAACCACATGTACTTCTCATGTTTTATTATTATTTTATTATTTTATTATATAACTTAAGATAAAAGGAATTAAGAAAAAAATTATTCCAGAATGAGTGTATTTGAGTGTAAGAAAATTTAAATAATTTTTTAGGAAAAGGAAAAACAATTGTTGTGCTGCCCTGCCCATGCCCATGGCCAACTACAAGTACATGTTTAGGGAATTGGTACCCTACCACATGGGTTCACATGTTTGCAGCGGAGCCCCCCCACCCTCAAGGCTCACATCACACCTTATTAGCTTCTGCTTCTCCTCCAACAAATCCCATTTTTTATTTTTGTTGTTTTAGCTGTCATGGTATCTTTGAATTATTTTATTATGTATTTTTTGAAATTAAAATTTTTAATTAAATTAATAATAGATCATTAATGAATTTCTGAAAAATTAATCTTTTACTTTTTAAAAAAAAATTAAATATTAATTAATAAATTAAAAAATAAATCCTTTTATCAACTACTTCCCCAACTAATTACCATGGACTACATTGGTTGGAACGCTGCCCACCGTTTTCATTTATTACAAAGTTTTTCGAACAGAGAAGAATTTAAAAAACCTGAGGCTCTAATCCAACCCAATTTAACACACTGTCAATTTCCTCTTTCACGGGGAGTAATGACTCAGACAACAAACTAGTACAAAAGAAAAACCTCCACAAGTATTTAATAATAGCCGAGAGCAAGCGCCAACTGGATGTTGGCTGTGTACAGTTGGTTCCTTGCATCTTCTTCTTCCCACCCACAGTCGCGCACTCCACCAAATCACTTTTATAGTATTTTCTTTTGCAACTTTCTTTTAAGACAACAAATAATACTGCATCTAATATTCCGCGTGTTCCGGTTACACTAACCTTCTTTTCTTTTAATACCTTAATCACACATTTAGTCGACAAACAAACATCGCCTCACCTCATTAAAGTCACCATCTTCCTCGCACAAATCCATAGACAAAGAGCATACCCCACCGTTTGCTAAACCCTCCATCATCTCTTCCTTCTCTTAATTTCTACCATTAATAGTAGTATTATCTGCATCGGTGTTTCTCTTTTGGTTTTCTTTTTCCCCTTCTTGGTAATTGAAGCAGATAGAGTAAGATGCACGCCAAGACAGATTCCGAGGTGACCAGCCTCGCTCCCTCATCGCCGACGAGGTCTCCACGGCGTCCAGTTTACTACGTGCAGAGCCCGTCCAGGGACTCCCACGATGGAGAGAAGACAGCCACTTCGTTTCACTCCACGCCGGTGCTTAGTCCCGTGGGATCTCCCCCTCATTCTCATTCCTCCATGGGTCGCCACTCCAGGGAGTCCTCGTCCAGCCGGTTTTCCGGCGCGCTTAAGTCTGGATCCCGCAAGATCTTGCCTAATGATTCGTCGGGACGGGGCGGGCAGCGCAAGGGAGGCAAGCAGTGTGATGTGATTGAGGAAGAGGGGCTTCTGGAAGATGAAGAGCGTGAGAGGGGCCTTCCTCGTCGATGTTATTTCTTGATATTTATCGTCGGGTTCATTGTTCTCTTCTCTCTGTTTTCTTTGATTCTCTGGGGTGCCAGTAAGCCACAGAAACCCAAGATCATGATGCAGGTTCGATTGATTTCAAAATCTTCCTGACTAACCTTCTATTTCGACTAAATTTCGAAACGGATTTCGAATTTCGATTGATATGGGTTCTAATTCTATCTGTTGCAGAGTATATCGTTTGAGCAATTCAAGATCCAGGCGGGTTCAGATTTTAGCGGCGTCAGCACTGATATGATCACAATGAATTCGACGGTGAAGTTGACCTATCGAAACACCGGAACATTCTTCGGAGTCCATGTCACAGCTTCTCCTCTAGATCTCTCGTATTCTGAAATCCCCCTAGGATCAGGAACAGTAAGCCACTGAAACCACTCTTCAACCATTTCAGATATTTCAAAATTAACCAAATTGATCTCTGATTTACATTTTTGATGGATTGGGTTGATTTCAGATGAAGAAATTTTATCAATCCAGGAAGAGTCGAAGGTCAGTGACTGTAACAGTGAGTGGTGACAAGGTTCCTCTGTATGGAAGTGGGGCAGGTCTGAGCAGTTCGACAGGGACGACGACACTTCCGGTGGCACTGACACTGAGCTTCACCGTCCGATCAAGAGCTTATGTCCTGGGCAAACTGGTTAAACCAAATTTCAACAAGAAGATCGATTGCAACGTGACGTTTGATCCAAATAAGATTAATGTCGCAATTTCACTCAAGAAGTCTTGCACATACGATTGATCACTGAAGCAAATCGTCGAACACATGGAAGGCACCGTCTTTTCTCGGTTTTTCTTTCCTTTTTTTCTGTTGAGGTTGTAGGGAAGTGAGTTGGAAAGGAAATGAAGTACAGCTCAGCGGGCAGCTTTCGAAGTTGTTAGGGCAGGTAGTGGGAAATGGAAAACACGGATGCGGACTTTTGAGGCTGCCCGAGTGCCCGGAGGTGAGAATATACGTGGACGTCGGTGGTTTTTTTTTTTTTTTTGTAAGATATAATTTTATACTAGTACCATTTTTTTTGTATTGTAGTAATTCATTCTTTAAGTAATTTATTTATATAATGTAATAATTTCGTCTTAAATTTCATGTGCCAGCTGTGTGTGTTTCTAGTTGGGGATATAATTGGGTTAGGTGGGGTAATGAGAAAACTGTTTTAGAAAAACATTTTAAAATTTAAACAAAATTGAAGATACAACTGCTCAATTATTAATTCACCAAAAAAAAAAACCTAAATTATTAAATTGGGTCAAATGAGAAAAACCGGAGTAATTACCCCATTACCGTAGTATGTGAAAAAAAAAAAGTCTACAAGGTTATATATTTGATATATGATATGATCATAACTTTTAAATAATTAAAAGTTTAAGATTTTAAATTAAAAATATTACATTCAAATTTTGAAATTAATAATTAAAAAATTATAAGAAAAAAATGATTATCGGCTATTTTGAAACTCGTTATACATCCAACATAGCTTGATATTACCATTAGATAAAATATCTTCTAACAAGCACACAAAATTATAATGGACATTGATTTCTTTTGCTCTTGGTTCTAGTCATCTTGACTACTTTTTATATTTAAACCAAGGCTTCAAAACAGGTTTTGACGCATATGATTGTTTTGCTCTTCTATTTTCTTTTCTAGCAACTAACATCAGTCACATGCTTTTGTTTTCCTTTCACTTGTTGGGCGGCCAAGGCTGCAGCAGCCACCGCACATGCTCACCCATAATACAAAGACATGATTATTTTGCTTTTGTAAAAAGTGAATATGATGAACACTCAACTAATCAAGAGTCAATAATTCAAGAATCTGAAATATCAACAATCACCAAGCCAATTCGTCTTCCTGAATTGTATTAGGTGGGATTCTTGATAAAAAAAAGGAATTGTAAAAATGTGTCACTAACTCAATGTATAGGAAAAGAGATAAAAAAGGTATTATAATCAATTGCAAGGAAAGAATAGGTTCCTGCTCTTGAATCTGATAGACACCATTGCTTGCATTTTTATCTTACTTCATTACTTATTCCCACAAACAGAACCCCTTTTTTCTCTAGGAATCAATACATCAGATTTGTGAGATCTCAAAGCAAATCCAGCAGAACAGTGAAAGTGATGCAAGCTGTCACAGAGTTTCTCAATATAACAACGAACAGGAAAAAAAAAAAAAAAGAACAATACAAAATCAAATGGAACAATATTTTCCCCGCAAAAAACTCTCATCTCCTGCAAAGGGTGATTCTTGAGCAGCCTCTTGTGTAGGGATGAACAGGGCCATGTGCTCTGAAACAGTTGTTGGTGTAATAAGACCTCCCCGAGCGGGGAGGACAAGGAACCCTGTTAGCAGACAGAGCTCCATAAGAAATGTAATAATGCATTGGTTTCCAATACAGAGATCTTCTAGCAATGTCCCCATTTTCTTCATCTTCATTGCTGCTGACCAACTCATCTTCCCTAGACATTCCCCATGACCATTCATTGGCCTCGTTCATCAGTTGAAAGCTCGTAGCATGATCCACCTGAGCGTTGATGGTGAGTAAGATCGAGATGATGAGAAGCAGTGTGAGAGGAGAAGAGGATGCCATGGGAACGATGAGCAGATGGGGGAGTGCTGGATTAGATTCATTAGAGGGAGAGAAATATAGGAGGTTGAATCAATTAAATGGGGTGAGGTGGAGGAGGGGACAGAGAGTCACGTGTGAATTGATGTTATTTGCCGAATACAGTGAAGAACTGAACTGGGGACTCCAGCACTGCTAGGCTGGGGGTCCTGGGGACATCACTTCCCTGCCTGCCTGCCTGCCTTAATTTATGCTGCCTCTCCATTTTATAATTCTTGTCCTTCTTGATTCCTTTTTATTTTCTAATTTCAATGCTTCTTTTTTTTTTTTTAAATATATATATATATATATATTGTAGGGGATTCAAATTCAATGTAATATTCTCAAGATGGATGATTAATTTAGCATTCAAGAAATCCAAAATAAATTTCTACATATTCTCTACGCACCAAGAGATAAAAATAATTATTGTTTTTCTTAAATCCATGCATAGTCACCTGTCCCTCAAACCTCAATGCTCCAGCTTGAAAATTGTAACTCTTATACAACATCATAATCATCATTTATTTTTTATCACGACATTTTAAATGAGAAGATAATTAACTTTTTTTTTTAAACAGTTTTTACAAGGGCTGGGTCGAAACCCAGGCCAGGGGTGGGGGAAGGGCACTTGAAGTGGCTATTGCCGCTTGGCCCAAAGGGCTCGGTGCAGAAAATAATTAACTTTAAAAATAAAAAGTAGATAAATTTTAGTAATTTGTAATGAAGTGACAAATGAGTAAGATTTTATATAAAAATTATACATAAGGCTTGTATTTAAATTGATCTCAACCTTTTTATGATCTTTAATGAAATAAAAGTTTATAATATCAATTAATATATTTAAATATATTCAATGAATATAAAATTTAGCATGCATGTTTTATATAAGTAAAATATTTAATCTAGTTAGTTTTTAAAAAGGAAATAATGCCTATTAGTCTTATCTCATAAAGATTAAGAGGAAAATCATCCTAAAACTAGGTCGTTTCAATAAATTTTTATTGAAAAAAACTAAATTACATTATTTTTAAAGCATACATTAAGGTGATTTTTGTTTTTTTTTCCTCTTAATTTTTTGGAGGTAAGATAGATAAGTAGTAACCCCTTTTAAAAAATAGTAACTATATTAAAAACTATATGAATTGAAAAACCAATAAAAGTTTGGTTAAACTGATATTTATTAATTTAAGAACCTTAATTTGATATTAGAGTAAGGGTTTAAACCTTTGTACTGTCAAGCAATTAATTTCTTCAATATACCAAAAAATATAAAAAAACTATATGAATTGAAAAAGAGTTGAACTCACTAGCCTAGGTTCTCCATGTTGATAAGATGGAGGAAGAATAACATTTTCATATCACTAACAATCTGCTAGTTTGAATGAAAAAAATTTAATTTTTTAAAAATAAAATTTTAAATTCAAGTTTTATGAATAGAAATATAAGTATTAAGAGGTTTTTTCTTTATAGAGTCTGATGTAACTTAACTTCAAATTAGTTTGGAGTTAATATAACTTTGGCTTAATTCAAAAAATAATTTATTAACTATCAACTTGATTTCATTTTAGTCTAAAAGTATGTTTTATTTCTAAGTGGTCTATAAACTTTGGAAAATATTTCAAAATGGTCTACCGTATAAGATTTTTGTTAGTTTTAACAGAAGAATCGATTTAGAATTAAAATAGAATAGTCTTTTAAATTTTAAAAAAGTGACACTATAATCCCAATAAAAAAAATGAATCAAGGAATAATCTATAAAAATAGATTAGTTAGAATTTGTGATAAAATTGAGCAACTAGCTTAATTCGAAGAGAGAAACCTAATGAACTTAGAAATAGAAGTTCAAAAACCCTCAAAAAAACTGGTATTAGAGTTAAGAAACAATAATTTTAAGTATAAAAGTTGTTTTTATAACAAATATAAATTTAAAAACTAAAAGATCAAAATGAATATAGTTAGAGGATTAACTAATTCTCTAATAGAATAGGAAGATTTTCGTTAAAAATAACAGATTAGACGAAATTGAAATGAATCTGAAAGCTAGTAAATAGGATTGAAAAAATCCAAAAATAATAGATGAAACTAAAAAAAATATGAAAGTTAGTAAATGATTTGTTAAATTAAACCATATAATTTTTGAACGGCAACTTTAGTTAAAAAAAAAAAATTAACATTTCCATATCAGGCTAGAAATCTCAGATAATTTTGGGCTAGAAGGAATAGTTGTCGTAAATTTAAAGGCCAAGGCCCAGGTTCAGGCCCAATATCAAACCAAAGCTCCTAGTCCCAGCTTACCACAGTCCATTTTTTGGCGAAGACGAAAATGCCGAATTAGTATCAAACCTAGGGATTGTAGATTAGTATTCAGGTGCCCAATACGGCAGCGTCCTTGCCTTTTTCTCCAGGACATTTTTCAAGAAATTACCGGGCCATTTCACAAATTACGGAGAAACAACGGGGCCAAATTGTAAATAAAAGGAATATTCCCTCATCGGCTGTCTCTTCCCCATTTCTATTCTTCTCTGAAAACTCAACTTTCCTTCTCTCTCCAGATTCTTCTCGCCGGGCCTGAGCATGGCTCTTCCTCAACATCATTTTCTTCAACAACACTACCAAACCCCTCAGCAGCAGCCGCAGCAGTCCAAGAATTTCAGGTAATTTTGTTCAAACAAAGTCTTGATTCTCTCTTTTCTTCAAAAACCCTAATGAATCTTCATTCTTCAGCTCAGTTTGGTAATATATCTTTCCTCTTCTGTTTCAGAAATCCATACGCAATCGACGGTCAGGTTTCGCAGCCGGTTGGTTACTACAACACGGCTAATGTTCAGGATCAGTCCCAGCATCCTCCATACGTCCCTTCTTGTAATTTCTCTTACCCCTTTTCCTTTCTTAATAACCTCTTTATGTTTAGTTTAATTTATGAGAAATTATATCAATAGAAGGTGAGAATTACTGAATTGAGACCATGTCGTGATACAATTGCATGCTTTGGGTTTTCTGAAGAAAAGAGGAAAGCTTTACGTAGTGGAGTCTTGCATGATTTTAGACTAAAAATTTCACCTTGATCAATTTGTTCAATTGGGTGCGTTGGATTTGTTGTTATTTCTCTAGTTCATGTTGTTGGGTTTGCACCTGGTCCGGCCCCCATGGCGGATGGCAGTGATGATGGGGGTGCTGATTTACAATGGAATAATGGGCTTGAACCCAAGAGGAAGAGGTTAAAGGAACAAGATTTTTTGGAGAACAATTCACAGCTATCGTCTGTTGATTTTCTTCAAGCACAGTCGGTGTCAACTGGATTAGGTTTATCACTAGACAACAATCGGATTGCTTCTTCTGGTGATTCTGCTTTAATGTCATTCCTTGGCGATGACATTGATTGTGAGTTGCAGCGACAGGATGCAGAGGTTGACAGATTCCTCAAAGTTCAGGTGTGTCTTTTTATTTAATTGCAAAATTTAGCATATTGCTTGTAATTCAATTGAAGTGATTAGACAATAGTAAAGTTGGTTTCTTATTAGCTTGTTTTTGTGAAGAATTGTCATCTGTATCTTGATTGTTATGGTCTATTATGTTAACATTATCTACCTGATCCATTCTTGATAATTGGTAATGAATGCATGTGCATTATATGGTATTTCCAAGCCAATGTTTTGCTGTTGACATTTGTCTAGGGTATGTATCTGGTAGTTATTTGATTGGATCCATGATTCTGTTAGCTTGGATCCATAGCAGGGTGGATTGTTTCTCTACTTTTAATTTGCCATGTAGTAGTACTCTGTCATATTCAGTTTGTGAGCATTACACTTGCCATATATTGGTTCAAAAAAGTGTGAGCAGAAGCAAATCAAGCATTTGCATGCCCCGTCAGATTTATGCATGTTCTTTATCTTTGCCCATGAATTTTAACTTAAAAGATCAAACTTTTGTTTAAAAGAATTATTCTTCTGCACTTCTTTGTTGGTCTTGTAATGTAGACCATTTGCGTTGTTGATTGAGCATCAACCTTTATACCTAATTGCACAATATAAATATTTTTTAGTCAGAAACCACTCAAACCAGTGTTGCAATTTGACTGTTAGCCTGTTACAAAGACTTAATTTGTTATTCTCTTGAAAAGGGAGACCGATTGCGGCGAGCTGTCTTGGAGAAGGTTCAGGCAAACCAACTTCAAACCATCTCATTTGTTGAAGAGAGAGTTCTTCAGAAACTCCATGAAAAAGAAGCAGAAGTGGAGAGCATCAACAAGAAAAATATGGAACTTGAAGAACGGATGGAGCAGTTGACCATGGAGGCAGGTGCTTGGCAACGTCGGGCTAGATACAATGAGAGCATGATAACTGCCCTCAAGTTCAATCTTCAGCAAGTTTATGCTCAAAGTAGAGACAGTAAAGAAGGATGTGGTGATAGTGAGGTGGACGATACTGCTTCATGCTGCAACGGCCATGCCATTGACTTCCACCTGCTATGCAAGGAGAATAACGATGTGAAACAGTTGATGACTTGTAAGGTATGTAGAGTAAATGAAGTGTGCATGCTTTTGTTACCCTGTAGGCATCTTTGCCTGTGTAAAGATTGTGAAACTAAGCTTAGCTTTTGTCCCGTATGTCAGTCGTCTAAGTTTATTGGCATGGAGGTCTATATGTAATGCTATATGTATGTAATATCTCTGTTGTTGTTATGCAAAAGTTATATGCATCGTTCTTGTGATTTTGATTGTTGCCAATTGTTGATTGTGCTTTCTGTATTTGAAACAAATTTTCAGTATATCTTGCATGATAAGGATTCTGCTTATCAGTTACATAAGCTTGTTGTATGAGTGGTAATTATTAGGACGGTTTTCCTTTGTAGTAATCAAGTAGTTAGGAAATTCCTTTGCTTCCAGAGAATGCCTTCTACTTCCAGTTTTTAAGTAAACAATTTGAGGACGTGAATCACATGACAGCACGGCCTGTGTAGAGTTTATGGTCTCGGCTTCGCTTGCACGACTCAACTACAATGCCACCATTTCTCCAAGTAACGTGTCTTGTTTAACTACTTCATTTCTAGATCTCCCCCAGGCCCAAAAATAGAAAAATTGTATTCATGTGGTGTAGAGTTTAGGAGTATGCGACACATGATAAACACTTATTGCTTGCTATTTAGAAATTTTGAGTTCAAACTTTGGAATCAGGCAGAGAAGTATCTAGATAAGGAAAAAACTCTATTGTTCTAAAAGCTATGCTAGAGCCCATTTGGTTTAATTTCTAGATGTAGCTTTTCGACGAGTATGTATGTGCTCAATCCTAAATTTATTTATTAAATAATTATAAATAAAATTTTAAAATTAATAAAATTGATTAAAATTAGAAGTAAAACAGTAAAAGCTTCCATTTAAAGTTAAAAGTTTTAGTTTTGGCCAAAACAAGGGCGGGGGGAGTGAAATTTGTATCAATAGCTGCTTCTTATTCTCTAAAAACCGAAATTAGTAGTCTGTAGATAAAATCACTGGTGCTTCTGAGGGTCAGTAGAAAAGCTGTTTTAGAAGCTGCATTTGGGCTAGGTATATACTCCATGATTGCCTTGGATTGATTAGCTAAATTTGCTTGGGCTCGAGGGTAAAGCCAACACTGGTGAGCCTAATCTTGACCTTGTAAAGCAAAACCATTCTTGTATCGGGCCGGACCTTGTAGAGCAAAATCAACTCTGGTGGACCGGACCTTCTAGACCACAACCATTATGTTGTGTTGTGGGGCTTCTCTAGTGAATTTCAGTCATAAAAAACCACACATGTTTTTTCTCTCCCTCTTGGAGAACAGCATATGAAGCTGAGAAAAGAAGGCCAAAAAAACAAAAAGAAAAGAAAAGAAAAAAGAAGGGCTGAGCCGAGGTGAGAAGAAACTGTATCCTAATGTACAAACATCTACATTACAATAATGAATAAGCCATAGCCCAAAACTTTCTCTTCTCTAATTAATATTCTCACTCACTAGTAGTGCCTGTAGAAGTCTTGGGAAGGAAGAGTCTATTATTTGGTATAGAAAAGGAGAAAAGTGGATAGGAAGAGAATACTTTTCTTTCTTTAAGGAGGGGGTAGAAGATTGATCGATCAACTTTTTTCTAATCATGCCTTAGAAAGTGATGACAAAGAGGAAAGTGAATATGCTTCCTCCATCATTATAACTATCTGCTATCCATTATCATTGTTATTATTATTGTTTCTATTTTCCACCTCCACTTCCACTTCCACCTCCAACCTCAAAACCCTAGCTGATTCCAGTCCTTTCACCAATCCCCCTACTTTCTTTGCCTTTTCATATACTACCATTCCTTTTATCTTTGATGAAAATACATACCACCAAAATTAAAAGACGGATCGATGACTTACTGACTTTAATTACTTCAATCATCCAACCCTTCTCCTTATTCCCTATAAAGCTGTTTTTTCTACTTTCTTTTTTGCTCTTTGTGGGGTATAATGGCTTACCCTCCACTTTGTTTTCTCTTTTACTGCCTTCTTTTTTGTTGTACCATTTCGTGACTAATTTTTCTTTTTCTTTTTCTTTTTTTTTTTTTTTGGGATTCCAAAGTGATCTCTTGCACTGTCAAATGTTATTTGCCATTTTTTTAAACTGAGCAATGCACCTTGTGATGCCCACAGCCCCTCTGCCCTTCTCGGGTCCCCAGTTTTTGGCAGGAATATTTGTATTTGCATAGCTTTGTGTGTTGTCTTACCTCGGTTTCTCTGAACTCATTTTTTTAATTCTTATTTTATAATCTTCCAGTTTCGATAACATGTGCATGAGTCTTTCAGCAGTTCCCCATCCATATTGAAACCGGAAAACTTAGGTTCCAAGGCAAAATCTAGAGTAAATATTGCCAAAATTTGAGAGATAATTACAGAAAAATCAAATAAGTAATCCAAACGGTGACTTTCTTATTTCTATACCTCAAGAATATTGTCTGTATATACTTTGTACGTTTATGTGGTAACAGAACAGCTTCACGTTCTCTGTATATAAAACAAAGGAAAGAGAAGCCCTGTTCTCTTCTTGCCTTTTGGAATCATTTTGGCACCAGTGGTCCTGAAGAAATTAATCCCACCTTAAATCCACTCAGTTTCATTGTATACCATTAGGCATTTCCTTATAGTACTTTTTTGTGCTTCTTAGAACGATTTTTTTTTTTTTTTATCTGCAAAATATTCTATTTCACGGGTACAAAAGGTATCCAAACCCATTACAATCCTTATGTTACACTCCACTTGTGTATAACTCAATCAAAACATTATTTTCCTCATTAAACATTTAAATCTCCCAGTAGCGATAATTCCTGCCATTCCTTAGAGTATGGATAACGCCTGTTTTGGATTGAGTTTCCACATTTCCAAATCAAGTAATTTTCTACTGCCAAACAGATCAACTTAAGTGTTTTTGACTTTTCTAAACCTGAGTTCAACTGTATAAAATTTCTTATTGCAGAAGCTCAAGTTAGGACCAATAACTCTTTTAAAAACTAGTTTCAGTTTATGTTTCACCACAATCGGATCATGATTGGCCTGTTGAGAGAGAAGAGTGGGCACTGGAGGCACATCGTTTTCATTGATGGGAAGGTCAGTTTCGTGGAATGATCAACACAACAGGTGGCTTGCAAGCTTTTTGGTAGACATGATTGACCACCATAGTGGATAATTAGTTGGCAATAATATTTTCATGATTATGGAAATTATATATAAAAGAAAAAAGGCGAAAAAAAAAAAAAAACGAAGAAGAAAATCTAAGGATACTGGACAGCCCGAATCAGCCCAACACTCCAAATCATTCCGAGGATATAATCTGCATTTCCCGGAATCGATTACCAAGCGATTATTTATCATATAAATTTATGCAAATTTCGATGCCTCTACCCCTTTAGCTAGGTTGCCGATATTATGTCTTGAATTATTGACTATGAACAGAAAAATATGCCACTTTTACGCTTGGTAAGAAGCACAGAAGTGATAGAGCTAGGGAGGTGTGGGACTTCAAATATATGCATGAAATGATGGTGAGAGGATGATGGAGGGACCCGATCATCGCCAGGGAATCCCTTGGATTGAGGAAGAAGAGAACAGCGGCAGCCTTGAATCGTGGGACCTTTTTTTTTAAAAAAAAAATTGGTGGTTTTTTGTTTTTTGTTTTCAATAATCAACTTTTCTTTAAACGTTCATCAGCCACAGTATAAAAAGAAGAGAGAAAAAGAATGTGATGTGCATGTGATCCAACAGCCTTTATGTTCCCCTCTTCCATCCCAACATTGCAAAAACCCACCATTTCCTTCTAGTGTGTCTCTTTTTGACATTTTCGGTGCTTTTCTGTTTAATCATGTTTAGGTCTTTACACTTAGACATATGTTTATGTTTTTCTTTAACCCCATGAGTCCGCTTTCACTTTATTGAATATGGTTTCAATTTTTAATGAGTTCACATCGAAATAATTTCTTATGAATCTCTAGTTATTGAATTAGAAAAAAAAAAATTTAATTTGATAATATGTGTAAATTGATTCAATATATATGTATATATATCAAGTATTTCTGTTACTAGGAAGATATATATAGTTTATGTGCTAGAAACTTAATCTGGGCCCATGAAAGGATCAGCCATGTTCTCATCATGGCACTGATTAAAGGCATAAGACTAGTGGGATTCAAAAGTCCCAATATCACATCAAATTTTTGCAGGAATGTCTTTAGATATCTTTACATTCTCTGTAGAATATACTATATCTATTTGTCTTCTGTACTGTACATAACAAAGTTTCCCACACGTTCATAGTAGGATATCCTTTTCACGTAGAAGTTGATTTTTCTTCATGTCTAGCTAGCTTTAACAAAGAACAAAAGGGAAAGGAAAAAAAATATATAAAGGAGAGATCAAAAGAAGGAGGAAAGATCATATTCTTGGTGTTTCTCTGCTTTTAATGTAACTCTAAAGTGAGTTAAACTTTGCTTTCTTTTAGTGATAAGGAAACCATAGGCCATGCATGAGTCTAAAATTTTGATAAGGAAAACACTTTTTAATTTGGACCCATTCTAAAGAAATTAATTAGTCATGGAGGATTGAAGAAGCTCCATGCTTTTTAACTTCTTTTATGGAGGAATATAAATAGAAACTTTTGCGTGGAAACATAACTAGCTATTCCAGTTCTACTATACTTTCACAGACAGAGTACTTTCTATCTAATCAATCAGATAAAAGAAAGAGAGAAAACTTTCTTAATTAATTTTCTTCGTTCCATTTTTTACCCTATATAAATGTAATCTTGAGCACAGTATATACTACGTATAAAAATTCTAGTCAATAGGAAAATGAATCTTGTGGAAATCTTTACCTCTCACATTAAGATATTATTTTAATATGTGGTTTTCTAGTCCAAAGAAAAACTAGTACCGAGACCAATCTAAAAAAATCGTACCAAAAACAATATCTCTTAAAAAAAAAAAGTGCAATACATTTAAAAAAAAAAATTAATTCCTCGTGTACTTGTCTATGAAAAGTCGATCTTAAAAATTTACACACGAAATCATATTAATAAAAAAATTCAGACAAAAACAATATCTAGTGTAGTTTAAGAAACTGAGAGAACCAAAGGAACAGCTCTGGAAGGACATGTATAGATTTCCATCACAAAATTTTTTTTTTTTAATAAAGGTAATGATTAGTAAGTTAGTAGTATTAAATGTTAGTAACTGAGAATTCAATTTTCAAATCGAGTGAACAACCCACCAACCTTAATGAGGTGCACGACCATTAAGTCGCTTGATAGAGTTCACCATCACAAATTAAAACAAAAGAAAAAGAAAACAGAAGACAACACCTGTGTGCACATAAGTGCAGTACCAAGACAAATGACAATCTTGTCCGTTCCATTTATATCAAAGCTCCATTTTCTCGTGGGTTCTAATCTCCCCCTCGTGACCCCTTGTTATTTTTCTCACATAAATCCATTACACCCTCCTGCCCTCTGCACATGTCTAGTTCCTTCATCACCCCCTTTCTTTGACCAAATTCCCCCAATCCCATTTCCATATCTGAATTCTACATAAATAATTCGGAAATCCACAATGGTCTCTGTATTTTGAGCTTAAACATAAAAAGTTAATCTATGTTTCAAGAGGAGGACAGCAAATCAGACAAAAAAGAGTGCAAGAAGAGACAGAAGAAAGAACCTTGTAACTTGTCCGTATGCAATACAGATTTTGATTCCTTTCACTTTAGCAATTTAGATCAAGATGAAGATTAGTTTTATAAAAATATGGGTTTTCTTTTTTATCCGTATTCGCTCTGTGTTTTAAGCTGTCTGTCCTTGAAATTCTACATTGCGGTTTAGGGTTTTGGTTTGTGTACTATTATTTTTTTTAGTAGCCTAGTGTTTCTACACCAGGTTAACTATACTTATAAGACAAATCTTTTTTTAGTTTAGTAAAAATTATATCATTTACAACAAAATTAAAGAATATATGAAAAAT